CCCAATCCATTCTCGCAAAATGATTTCCACCTAAACACTTGATAATATCCATTTCCACCTAAACACTTGATAATATCCATTTCCACCTAAACACTTTGATAATATCCATCTTTACAGCCTATCCAGTACAATACTTCAAAGAAAGGTTGCGTTCACACATTGCAAATGTAGAGAATTCGCAATTTGGGAGGATCGACAACGAAGGAAAATGACCGACTCCGCCCACTAGTAGCGAATCGAAACTGCCGCTGAGCGAAGTCACAGCGCGTTCACGCTTCGCGATCTGACCGTCTGGATCGTGCGACCACGACGGGGAGTGCTCCACCGCCAATCTTCAGACCGCCCCAGCAATTCGACAGAAATGAATTGGACCCCTTACAAGTAATGTGCCCCTAGTCGTCGTCACGCGATCGAATCGCTCGTGCAATCGGATGGCGAACTATGAACGTGCTCTTGAGTATTATGTGGTCCCTTGGCGCCGACCCCTCGAATCTCCACATTCGCCAAGAATGAAAGGGCTAAACATGTAATAATGAAATCTCAAACGATTCACCTTATCTGACATTCCTGGCTCCTCTGCCGATGGTGGAACCGTGGTCGGTACACCAGTGGTAGCCGGAGCCGACGTCACCAACGAATCCATTGCAGCTGGTCCAAGTGGCGAGTCCAGGTTAGGCTCGGCTGTACCTCCTGCAGCGGCAGCCTGTTGTCGCAAAATTGCTTGCACCTGCTGCATCTTGAAGAGTTGCTCGTAAGTCGCCGGGAAAGCCTAAATTATTGTTGCTATGGGAGGAAAGCTTTGCTAGGTGACAGCAGTATTTAGGAGATCCGGATCGTTGCATCGCGTGCAACCAATCCATATTCCTAGCTAGTTGACTCGTAGCGCCAACTGATGAATAATCCGTTTTATTCTAAATTTTTGCGACCACGGAATTGAAAAGCACTTCTCAAAAATCGAAACGAAAAAAGCTATCAGTTGCCAGTTTCCGACGCCTAAGCTGCTCCGAGTCAACTTCCTCGACCTTCCTCAACTACAACCCCGCCGCTCGCCACGACCCACAGCGCGACATATTACGATTGTACTGCCACATACCCACTTTCAGCACCTACCTCTTTGATCACCGGAATCCGCGAAGCATCATTTGAGCCTATGACACGGAAGAATCGCTGCGCAAACAGTGTCGCGTCCACATTTGAACCACCA